TGCTGGTTATCACCTGTTCCCATGCGCTGGCTGACATTGAATTAATGCTTTAATTAAAATACTGATGGGGAAATGGGATAGGAGGGCTGCTCTAAAAGTCCAAAAGCACCTCTACAGCTAGAAATCAAGTTGTGTAGCCCCCATCCAAAAGCCAAGCCAGCCATGAGCCCTTGAAAGACACAGGTATACCACTGGAGACTGCCACCACAGAAATGCTGCTTTACCATCCGATTCTGACAGCATGTATATGTGATGACCTACATATACATACCAGAAGGAAAACATCCAGATCCAAAGTGCCTCAACAGTTATTATTTCTACCTGAGGATCCACTGAAGCTGGATAATTGACTGCTTCTCCACATCAGCTCAGCAGAAGAGCCAACCCTGGAGCTTGCCCACACAGTACAATACCTTCAAGCATGAACATTAAAGCATAACAGGTTTCCCAGTTCTCAGTGTAAATAAACGAATCCTAGCATATGACTTGGAGTAGCTTAAACCATAACATTAAGAAAACTCAGGTAGGGGAGCAGAATGTGCACTCAGGTGGCAAAACAGCACACAGCAGCCCTCCTGAGACCTGATTGGGAACACTGCTGGAGCTGAGCAGCCACACCACACCAGGCCAGCCTGCAACCTTTTGATTCAGTTACAGTGACAGTTTTTGCCGTAAGAGGTACAGATTTACAGCATCAGTATAATGGATCTTTAAAAATCAGCTTTTTTCAGGCTATCGGTTCTATATGAGATGCTGCTGGAGGCAGCCATTAAGAGAAGCCCCACCAAGAGCTCTCTCAGAAGACTTCTATGAAGCTGTCACAGAACACAGGTCTGCCTTGTGTTAGATGGGCTGGTTGGGAAGAAGAACAACGGGGGCTCAGGGGAGGAATCAAGGAAAAGGAGAAGATTTGGCAGGAAAAAAAAAAAAAAAAAAAGGAGTTGTAGCCTTGACTTCATTTTACACATTCATAAATGTTCTTTTACATAAGCAAATAATGTATTCCACTGAGAAATTACCCTTCACTTTATTTATTTTTTACCTGCTCTGTGGAACACACAGAACCACAAAGTGCTGAGTGTTACAACAGGGGCAGATGCAATAAAACCACACCTTGATGAAGACAGCGCCAGGAAGAAGCAAAGATCAAGCAAAAAAAATACATCAGTATCAATACTGTGATACACAGCATGACTTGCTTTCTTCCAGAAACCAAAGTGCACTGCTCCAGCATGTGGGGCTCCTGCATGTTTTAGGGAAACAAAAATATGCTGAAGAGTACATATGCATCCCACATGCTAGAAATACTTGGCTCCTAGTTACAAGTAAAAGGCTTATTTTTATTTAAAAAATCCCCACTGACATGAATTTAGTTTGTGGGGTTTATATTTAAAAGTGGCTAAAAATAGGCAGAAGGCCCCAGTGAAACTTCTCTCTCACATGTGCTCAACCTTATAGGCTTTTTCAGAATCACTTCTTCAGGAGCAACAAACCCAGGAGCTCTTCTTACCTTCACAAACCTACTGATAAATTCTGCTGTTGATATGCAATCTGAACTGTGAGCTACTCAGCTTATGAAGATGCTCCAACCCACCTCTGTGCACCAGTTTACCTATGCACAAGGCACAAAAACAACCACCCGCCATCACTCTTGTACAATCTTGTCTGAAAGTTCCATCCTCACTCTTGACATATCTTCTACAATTTGCTTTTGTTTTTCTTTGGTAATTCAGCAAAACACTCATAGCGACCATAGCAGTTGTTACTGTGAATTCCGCCTTTTTGATATCTGGATATCACCCCCAGATACAAAATGATGTGCTCCTTCCTTACAGTGTGGGAGGTTAACGCATTACAGGAGACACAGGCATACAGGTGCTAAGAATCGTACGGAAAACTCTGGATGCAAAACACACTTAGTCCTGCTTTTGTTTAACGTCAGTCATGAGTCAGCAATAAGAACTTAATGGAGGGGAGCAACCTTACAATTTGCAGCTCGTTGTCATTAAAGTCTTCTAATTGCAGCATCTTTGTACCTTGCCATGGGACACCCTGCTCAAGCAGAGCTGCTGTGTACAAGCCAGCAGCAGCTCAGCAGCACACGGCTGCTTGCTCACTGTCCCTAGGTGGGGTGGGGGAAAGAACAGCAAAGGTACAGGTGAGAACTCCTGGTGTAGATACAGGCAGTTTGCTGGGCAAAGCAATAATAGCTGCATGCATGAGTGGGGCGCAAAGAACTCACTCGCTGCTTCCAACAGCAGGCAGACATTCACCACTGCCAGTGAAGCAGGACTCCTCGTGTGCAACTGTTTCTCAGGAAAAAAGCACTCCAAACAGCTCCCTCTCCTTCCCCCTCCTCAGCTTTTATTACTGATGCCATAAGGCGTGGAACTTCCCTTTGGCCAGTTTAGGTCAGCGCTGCCGCCCAGCACCACGCTGACAGGGTGGCTCAAGGAGCAGAACTGCCCCTGACTCAGCGCAAGCACTGCTCTGCACCGGCTGCATTACTGTGCTGTCACCACTTTTCTCACATACCCAAAGCACAGCATTGCAAGTTTCCACAGAGGCTGATAACTGTCTCAGCCAAACCTATTACAAGGGGGAGGGACCCGATGACCTCCAGAGCCCTCAGCCATTATGTGATTACATTCATTTCAGGAAAAACAACACAAGACACCAACTCCCAAGTTTATCCTAGATACCACTTCATTGGCTTCAGAAGCCAATTCTGAAACAAGAGTTCCTAGATGGTTGGTTTGTGGGTTAACATGCAGAACAGCAGCTGTGTTTGCTGAGGTTTAATACAAAACTGCGCCTTCTGCAGCATAAGCCTTGGCTCTCATTGGACAAATATTTCACTACTGGTCCTCTGCAACTTCCCAGCCAGTTTTTTGTGCTGGTTAAAAGGTGCCCGAGTCAGAGAGATCTGAACAAAACAGCTTTCAGTGCAGTTTCCTTACTGAGTCTGATATAGGATCCTTTCAGCATTCAAAGCAGCAGATCTGCCAAAGCAACAGGACACCTTTCCCTGCAGCTCCTACAGCATCCCTCTGTGACTATAGCAGCAAAGTGCTACTTGCAGTAAGCAAAGCCAGTTTTCTGCCTGGGAGACTAGGAAGTTTTTCCCTGAGAACGCACCCAGACATGGGTGTTAGGCAAACAAGGTGCATTTCCCAGGGAAAATCCTGGATACTTCAAGTACGTGTGGCAGCAGCAGAAGGAAGCATCTCCACGCTGCTGCCTCCCCAGTCTGAGGCAGACCTTTGGAGAAGGAAACTTTTGTAGAGGAAGCTGAGCACATGCTGTTGTCACTGAGGCCAGTAATCAAGAACACTGAAAAAACAGGTTCTTGAAAACATCCCTTCACAGTTCAGTCTGTCCACCCATGTGTGTCAACTCTGGATTCGCCACAGTGGAAAAACTACTTGGAACTATCTCAAGTTCCAGTTTCCCATATAACAAGGGCCTTGAACATACTTTGTTGCAGTGCACTGTTCACTCAGAGCATCACACAGTGGTAAAGTAGCAGGGTACAGAAGACAGTTATCTCAAAAACACAGCACAAGCGCATCAACTCCAATCCTGAGAAGGCCTCAAGCAGTAGCACACTAGCCCCAGTGGTGTAGGACAATATCTGGAGAATGACCTCAATAACTAACAGCTAAGGACAGCCTCATAGCAGAGAAGGCCTCAGAGGAATTTTCTGAGCCCTGACAACCTACCAGGTGACATCAGCTCCAATTCCCACTCTATCAGCCCCAGTCTTTACAGCAACAGCAGTACCTGAACTGCTTAGCAGTGAAGCACTGACTGCGGTTTGACGTAAGTGTTAGTTTTCTTTCCACTCCTGAGTCAGACCTCCTGCGACCACAACAGACACCTCCAGCACACGCAGAGCCTCTGTCTATTCTTCCTGAGGGCAGCTCCCACCTCAACCGCAGCTGTCAGACAGCACTTCTGTGATGCCCACATGAATTCCTACAGAGCAGACATGTCAGCAGCTCTGGCCACATCCTCCAGCATCCCAAGGCAGCCATAGGCACTTAAGGCTCTTCTCAACAGCTCAGGCCTGTCTGTAATATTCACTGCAGCAAAGGTATAGACGGTGCCTGGATTAGTACCATTATCACTGAGGAAACCTGAAACCAGACAGTGGAGTCAGTATGACAGAGTCTAGACCTCTCAGCACCTCCCTTCAGAAATTTGCAGGCATTGAGGAGATCTCCCCGAGCCTTCTCTTCCCCAAGCTGAAGGGTCCCAGCTCCTCCAGCCTCTCATCATACAAAAAATGACACAGTCCCTTCCTTGTCTTTGTGGCCCTACTCTGACAATTCAAGCCTGCACCAGGCACAGCAGTGAGCCCCAAGAGAGCTATGAGCATTCACATTAAATCAACATGCTATATTGAGAGGAAGTGGCACACGGAAGGACCGGCTACCTACCAAGGTAAGTTACATTGTCCTCCTTCCCTTCTCTAGAAACCTGGTGGTTTTGTTCTGCACATCCCCTCCACCCCCTCAAAAAAGGGAAAACAACAACAACAATTATAGCTTCAGCAAAACACACAGAAATCCAGGAATTATTCCAGTGGCACACAAGATCACCTGGACAACTATGTCTAGGCTCAAGAAAATGGACAGATGTTAATTAAGTACTGCACATTTGAATATCAACAGCTCTAACTTTACAGCCTTCAGCTAAACTTTTATCAATCCAAAGACAGACAGAAGAGTTGTGGGAAACCTAGAGCCAGCAAAATGCGTGTACAACAAAGTCAGTGCAATGATTCCCTGGAGGGATCAGCATAAAGAACCTTCAGCAGTATCTTCAAAAGAATCAGAGAACTATTAGAGGCTTGGCTGCAAAAGATAGTAGTAAAACCAGATGTAATCAGAACACCTCCCTCAAACAGGTTTCCAGCTCCACCAAAAGCTTCAAGGTCATGCATCTGTAAGACAGAAAGGGTAACAATCACCATGCACCACTGCTGCTAGGCATACCTGTGTTTTTAGGCCCATCTGCATACACCGGTCCTGGAGGCGGAGGTGCATTTTGCCATCCATACTGCGGATAACCTTGATAGCCTGGCTGGCCTGGCGGGTACGGCCCCACGGGTCCGGGTGGATAGCCAGGGTAGGGGCCAGGAGGGCCGCCCGGCTGTGGGGCATAGGGTGGGTAAGGGGCCGACGGGCCCGGGCCAGGGTAAGGTGGAGGATTTTCGTAGTTCATCTGGGATGCAGAATCTGTCCTGTAGAAAAAGGAAAACAAACAGAAGAGTTGGTTTGCTTTCACCCCAGCATACATACTCCATTTCAGACTGCTCTCCAGTGGACCAGAGTTTGACATAACAGACCTGAGAGTACCTGCTCAAGCAGCAAACTGATTTTTAACCCTATCACAGGACAGACCTGAGTTGAAGTGATTTCTTTTAAGTGACATCAGTTCACAGCAGCAAGGAGAGCGGCTCTCCCATTTCCAGTCACACATTAGCCAATCACACAAGGAAATCTGCTACTACAAAGAAAATGTCTTCTGCTTCCCCTCATGACTAAACTGCTTTTAGGAGATATTTAAAAGTGATTACTTCACGCTTCTGTCAATATTACAACAGAAAAACATACAGAAAAGCAGCCCATCCAGGACAGACACCAGGTCACCTCATCTCCAGCAGAAGAGCGCTTCATAGAATCATAGAATCACTAAGGTTGGAAAAGACCTAAAAGATCACCCAGTCCAACCGTTCACCTATTCCCAATAGCTCCTACTAAACCATGTCCCTCAACACAACATCCAGACTTTCCTTGAACACCCCCAGGGTCGGTGATTCCACCACCTCCCTGGGCAGTCCATTCCAGTGCCTGACCACCCTTTCTGAAAAGTAATACTTCCTCATGTCCAGCCTGAATCTCCCCTGCCGTAGCTTGAAACCATTCCCCCTGCTCCTATCACTAATGACACGAGAGAAGAGGCCGACCCCCAGCTCACTACAACCTCCCTTCAGGAAGTTATAGAGAGCAATAAGGTCTCCCCTGAGCCTCCTCTTCTCCAGGCTGAACATTCCCAGCTCCTTCAGCCTCTCCTCATATGGCCTGTGTTCCAGACCCCTCACCAGCTTTGTTGCCCTCCTTTGAACACGTTCCAGGGCCTCAATATCTTTCTTGCAGTGAGGGGCCCAAAACTGGACACAGTACTCGAGGTGTGGCCTCACGCGTGCTGAATATAGGGGAACAATCACCTCTCTGCTCCTGCTTGCAACACTGTTTCTGATGCAAGCCAGGATGCCATTGGCCTTCTTGGCCACCTGGGCACACTGTCGGCTCATGTTCAGCCGAGCATCAATCAATACCCCCAGGTCCATTTCCTCTACGCAGTCCTCCAGCCACACCGCCCCAAGCCTGTAGCGTCGCCTGGGGTTGTTGTGGCCGAAGTGCAGGACCCGGCATTTGGCCTTGTTGAAACTCATCCCATTGGCTCCAGCCCAGCTCTCCAGCCTGTCCAGATCCCTCTGGAGGGCCTCGCTACCCCCAGGCAGATCCACACTTCCAGCCAATTTGGTGTCATCTGCGAATTTACTGAGGGTGCACTCGATGCCCTCATCCAGGTCATCAATAAAGATATTGAAGAGGACAGGCCCCAGCACCGACCCCTGGAGAACACCACTCACGACTGGTCGCCAGCTGGATTTGACTCCATTCACCACCACTCTCTGTGCCCGGCCCTCCAGCCAGCTCCTTACCCAGCCAAGAGTGTACCCATCCAAGCCTCTGGCTGCCAGCTTCTGCAGGAGAATGCTGTGGGAGACAGTGTCAAAGGCTTTGCTGAAGTCTAGGTAGACCACATCAACAGCCTTTCCTTCATCCACCAGATGGGTCACTAGATCATAGAAGGAGATCAGGTTGGTCAAACAGGACCTGCCCTTCATGAACCCATGCTGGCTAGGCCTGATCCCCCGGTCACCCTGCACATGCCGCATGATCTCCCTCAAGACGATCTGCTCCATAACCTTCCCTGGCACCGAGGTCAGGCTGACAGGCCTGTAGTTCCCCGGATTCATTCAGGAACAGGACATTACATGTCTGCTAACTGTTACTAGCATCCAGACTCACTCCAGAACAAAGCTGTGCATGAAGAGTTTCCTGATGGTTGTGCAACCCCATCACCTGCTCCCTCCAGCTCTGTGCAACCAATCCATTAAGCAGTCACAAACAATCAGGACCATGGGCTCACTCTCATTCAAAAAGCAACATTAAAAACACTTCAGGGACTTGAAGTTCACAAAACCTCTATAAAACATCTATTGCATTACTCAAGTCACAGCCGTCAGAAGACAAGGCTGCCACCACAATGATGCAACTTCAGTTAGCCTCCAAATAGCATGACTGAGCAAGACATCCCTTACACAAGGTTCCTGATACTTCCCTCTGCTTGAGAAACGTAAGTGACCCCAAAGCCCTGTGCTAAGGAGCCTTCCTGGTTTCAGTAGCTCTCCCAGGCACGCAGCAAGGAAGTTCCCCCTTCACAAACCAGGCCAAAGGCAGGCAGCACGTCCTACAGCTCACTCAGGTGCAACACACTAGAGAATTGGTTCACCAAAGACCACTAATATCCATCTAACTTACAAACAGCCCTAAGGAGTGGCCAAACAAAAGTTCCAGTGGAAGAACGAGGCTGGAGTGAGTATGTGTGAGTAGAAGCAGGCAAATACCAGCATGGCACCACTTCGTGCCCCATGCCCAAGCCAGCCATGGGAACACAGGGCTGCCCCTGTGCTCAGAGAAGGGGCCTGCAGCTCTGTGGCTGCACGAAGCAGGACGGCAGTTGCCCTCGTGGCTTTGTGTGTTTGCAACAGCAGCGGAGGCCCAGGGGAAGCCTGCTGTGTCCCACAGCCCTACAGCTTGCTCCCACATCAGCCTGGCACCCTGGAAACACGCGCAGAGTGCTGCGGTAGCACTCAGACCGCAATGCCCCCAGGGCCCAGCTGGCTGTAGCCATCACTACCAAGCTCCGGCAGTCAGTTTCTGCAAGGGAATTTGTCCCAAGGTACGTTTTCTGGAATACATTTTCTTCATCCCCACTTCACAGAATCACAGAATCACAGAATCACAGAATCACAGAATCACAGAATCACCCGGGTTGGAAGGGACCTCAAGGATCATGTAGTTCCAACCCCCCTGCCTGGCAGGGCCACCAAACATACACATTTAGATCAGGTTGCCCAGGACCCTGTCCAACCTGGCCTTGAACACGTCCAAGGACGGGGCATCCACAACCTCCCTGGGCAGCCCGTTCCAGGGCCTAACCACTCTCCTTGTAAAGAACTTCCCCCTAACATCCAACCTAAATCTTCCCTCCTTCAACTTGGATCCATTTCCCCTAGTCCTGCTATTGTCAGCCCTTTTGAAGAGTTTACTCCCCTCCTGGGTGTAGGTTCCCTTCAGGTATTGATAGGCTGCAATGAGGTCACCCCGCAGCCTTCTCTTCTCCAGGCTGAACAAGCCCAACTCCCTCAAACTGTCCTCATAGGGGAGGTGCTCCAGCCCCCTGATCATCTTAGTCACCCACTTCCATTACTGGCTACTCTTCTCTATTTGCCCATTTCAAATTGCACGATAATATTTACTTTTCCTCCATTTTCATGAACCCACACACAAATTTACATGCCTAATAGCCCTATTCACCCACCAAGGTATGTGTTAGCAAGGCAGGGCCTTAAATCATTAAGCAGATTCCTTTCAGAGACATACTTGAGCTCCTACTCAAGCTTATTATCATGCATTGCTGTGGGCTCTCATCCTAAATTCCATGGAAGCTGCAACCAGGACTAACTGCTGAGAGCTTGCATCAGGAGTCATAGTTGCAGGTTTCCCAATAAGCACTTTAAAGACAAAGCTCTAAAGAAAGAGGCCAGCATGTCAAGCGAAGCTGTTGGTGTTCACAGCACACCAGGAAGTCCCAGTAGGAAGAGCCAGGGCTGTGCTGTAGCCTTGCCTAATGTGAAACTTGAGTTCAGCACTAAATCCAGCAAACTCAGAACTCTCAGATGCCATTAAGCAGGTGTCCTGACTGCTGCTGCTGTACCAAGACATCATGAGTTTCACCATTTTCTTCAGATGCACACGACCCTATTCTTTCTCCCCTCCAAACCACTTTTTAAGAGATAAGCTTGCTAATATAGCATTACATTTCCCTAAGCTCTCCTTGAACTTTTGTTCCATGCTGCCGAGCAAACACTGCTTACCCTATCCTAACAGAAGGGCAGGATTTGTAAACAGGCAGCTCACTGTGCCCCAGGAGGCTGCATTCTGGCTCCCTTAAGGGCTGGGAAGAAGTGAGAAAAAAAAAAATAAAGCTGAAGACCAAAATGTGAGTATGTAATGAATACAGTGTGTACATGCACACATGCGTGCCTTGGGCAGCCTGATCCAGTGACTGCCAACCCTGTCCACAGTAAGGGGCTGGAGCTCAGTCATCTTTAAGGTCCCTTCCAACCTAAGCCATTCTATGATTCTATGACATAGAGAGCCACATACAAACACAGACACAGGGTGGGAGGGAAGGTTTATACATAAGAACCACATTTCTTAAAATCTTAAGTCTTTCTACATCTGCAATCTTTGACTAACACAGGCAAATGTTGCAGACAGAAGCGTAATGCTTTGCGTACTGGCAAGTATTTTTTTTAACCTGTCCATTTTGGCAAGCACTACACTTCAGAGAAATAAATTTCACTGTTACACTTTCGAAAATATCCACTTCTTTCTGGTGGCTTTAAACTTCCTGCCTCCTATGAGATCAGCACCCCCGCAAAGCTGCTACAGAGCTCATCTGTTACCAATCTCTGGTTTCTCCATCTCCCTGAGAGAGCAAGCAGCCAGGGCAGGCCCTGCAGCTCCCCCAGAAGGCCCCTTAGCAGACTTGGTATTCCAGGTACCTCTTTTGGACTCAACACAATTCTAGCCCTGTAAAGGAGACCAGCACGGATGTGTATCTAATTACTGGTGGTGAGGACATTTTGACATCTCTGCCAAACTGAAAACAGTATGTACAGAATCTGCATTTTTGAGATACATGCGATTAGCATGGTACATCAAAGGTGCTAACCCACCTGCAAAGAAATACCAATCCTTACGGGCAGCTGGAGGTCTGAGTCTCCAAACACAATCTTCTATGAAAGCACATCAAGTAGGTAAAAAGCAGCATATAAGGGGTGACACAACAGTCTGACCTGCGTACTGAAGGCCTTCCACTGTATGGGAAAAAAGAGTTATTACCAGCTTTCAGGAAGCTTAGAAGCAGGAGCTGGCTTTTGTGACAGCAGAACAAGCACCACACTCCGTCTGCTGTTTGGGTCAGGAGGAATCACACTGCACACGGTAGGTATCGACCCAGCCGGGCTTCGCGCAGAGCGGCGCGAGGGCGCAGTGAGTGGCACAGCCCCAGCGGGGATGCAGCGCCCTGGCACGACCCACCCTGCCGACGCCGGCAGCACTAGGAAGCGGTTTACCAATACAGAGCTCTAATGGAAAGTACATCGAACATCAACAACGCAGCTTTTGGCAACGAGCCTAGAATCTAAATGATATTTCATATGAACGGTATCCAAATGAAAAAAAAGCACAAGTGGCTTTTAAATGGCACTGGTTCTGTGTTTCCCCCTTACCAGCTTCTATCCAAGCTCCACAGAGTGACTGCATCAAAGGTACATTAAGGATAAAAGGCACTGTTCCTCCTCGCCTGGCCCATCCTGAGGCAGCAGTAACAGGACAGCAGCACTGCGCGGTCCTGCTCAGAACCACGCTGCTTTCACAAATGCAGGCACAGGGAGAACTGAAAAGCCCAGCTTTGTGCTGTCAAAGGAAGAGCTTCAAAACACTGTTTTGTTCAAATCAATTTCCTCAGAGGGTCTCTGAGGGTAGGGGATACTCTGTGTGCAACAGGAAGAGGTGCATCTCCTCATCTTTATCCAAGCAGCTGCCAGAACTCCCCTAAACAACAACTCTGAGGCCACTCTGAAGGGCAGAAGCCACCACACCAGGCACCTCTGCTGGCCGAACCCCCTCAGGCCTGGATGAACAGCATTAACCCTCACAAGTGCCCAACTGGGTGCTGCATTCTGCAGAGCCCTCAGAGCCCACTGAGGCACTGAGCCCTCTGCCCAGGGACAGGTGAGGCTGTCCCCGCACCCTTCCAAACAGAGGGCTTCAACCCTTCCCACCTCTCCGGCCCCTTTACCCCTCATACTTTCTTAACAAAACCACACTGGCACATGGGCTTCCACGACACTTCGTGTTTATGCTGACAAGCTTCACTGCCTTGCTAACTGTTACAAACTGTTTTGAAGCTCTTCAGAATCTATTGAATGAAGCTATTCATCCCTTACTCCCTAATTTTCCTTCTTCCAAAATGCTGCCTACTGCATACCTACATGTTCTGCACAGCAAAAGTATCAGCATGAGACTGAAGAGCTGCTTGTGTAGTTTTGACAGTGAAGCTGCTAGAGGAAAAGAAGACCAAACCCAACATTCTGTTTCTGGTATCATGTGAGCTGTACCCTCACAAGGAAAAATTTCACATCTTTCAGACATGCGATGAAAGGTTTTGAGAACACGTGACGTAACAGCACAGACCAGCAGCTGTGACAATGAGAAGCAGTGCAGCACAGATCCTCCAGTCTTACAAGCCAAGGCACTCAGTGCTCACACACCAGCTGAGCTCTGCCCTGTGGTGTGGCAAGACGCGTGAAAAAGAAAAGCCCTGTTTATGGAACACACAGCAGATACAAGTGTGAGCACTATGGTTTCAGGCCCTGAAAGCTTTCTTGTGCAATGCAGTTGTTCAGGTGCAATGTGCTACACCACAGACAGCGCCAGAAATATCTAGTATATATGCTGCTCTGAAAAGGATGTATTGAGACTTTCTTAAGGCATAACAAATACAAAAACCAAAAATCACTGAGAACATCTGATTGTCAAGTTAAACCAGATTGCACAGTACACAAAAAAAACTTTTGTTGCTCCAACCGAAAAGAGAACAAGAAGCAAAAAGCCTGACTGGCAAGGAGGTTAATAAGCACCTAAGACAGATAACACAATCCCATGCGTAATTCAGATGGTGCCCTGGCAGCAGCCTGGCGACGAAGCAGCAGTCCCCAGCACCGACACGCTGGTGGATTTAATGGAGGATGCTACCTGGGCTGCCTGACAACATCCCATTTTCTGAAGAAATAACCATACTGAAGGGCAGTACACGGCTTCTTAAATAAAATAAAAGTAGGGTCATGCACACATTTCCTACATCTCTGATCTCCTTCCTCCAAAAATGGCTTTTCATAACAGGCTAGAAAATTGGATAGCACAAGCTTTCTTGCTTGCACTTTTTCCACATCACACATGCAGCTGTAACACAATGCTTTACTTAGCCTACAGGGGACGTACAAGAATCTTCTTTAATGGCTGCTGGTCACAGGGGACAAGCAACCACTTCTGAAGCAACACTCTCAAGAGAGCCTTTGCCTTACAGCTTCTTCTGAATATACGATAGAGTAAGTCCAGGGCCATCAAGAGCTCACTAAACAATGCCTTTACAATGCATTATAACGCTGATGTCGAACGCATCTTTCTGACAAACAACAAAAAGAACCTGGAATAGTAATGACTGATGTAAGGTCTGCAGCCAGCCAGATCGATGGCAAAGCTAGAGCCTTCCCAGCACACCCTGCCAGCACCCAGCCCAATGCAGTGCAGTTGTGAAGCAGGAGTGTGCCCAAAGCCAAGAAAGGCACCCTGCCACACACCAGGACACTTCATCTGCAAGGCTGGGGGCAGGCAACAGTCCATGTGCTGGCTGCAGAACGCAGGATACCAGAGCTGCAGTAATGAGCATGTCTGAATGACTCAGGCTTCTCGCTGTCTTCCCCTCTTCCCAAAAATGACAGAGTGCTCCTCTCTGCTCATTGAGCCACAGGGTTTCAGCTGAGAAACAGGAAGTTAAGAGGCACAGCACACAGCTGATTGAGTAGAAAATACTAACATCAGAGAGGGATACATGAGCTCTGCTTGCTCAAGTACTGTCACTATACAAATGATCCTGGCTCCTTACAGCGTGGGCACAGACAACAGGCAACTGGAGGAAGGCAAATCTGTTTGCTGAAAACCTGGAGGTACACTAACTTGCTCTGCCCTTCTACAAAACAGGACATTAATCTGAACATGCACAGAATTACCCCAGAAAACAAGCAGTTCCTCTGCTAACTGCACACAAAGCCCCCCAGGTAGTTCCCCATCATCACTCCAGGGCAATGCTAGAGATGCTGAACCTCATGATAGCAGGCACACCCGGGCTGTGAGCAACAAGCTGCAGCCAAGCCTCGGTGCAACACCACCCAGTGCTGGGGCAGCTCCGTCCCAGCCCGGGGGGTGCAGGGTGCCACGGTCAGGCTGCATACAGAACTCAGTCCCTCCCAGGGCATTCCTCCATGACGAGAGCACCCAGCAGCGACTGCACTCTGCTCACAAACCCTTCGGGGAATGAGAAACCCGTAGTTTACAAAGACGGCCTTTATCAGGCACGGAGGAGGCGGTCCGTAATGGTTACTGCTGCACGAGTTCCAGTACTTGGGGGGAAAAAAAAAAAAAAACCACAAAAAAACAACCAACACCGCTGTGCGCACTGCAGATTAGTATGGAACGCACCGACCCCCGACCACCCCCGAAAATCACCGAGATCCGATCGCAACTTCGCGAGGTTCGCTCCGTGCCACGCAGCAGCAGCGCCCCCGACTATCTCTGCACTCAATAACCGACGCGGCTGAGAGAAGCGCTTCCCGGCACAGGAGCAGCTCCACACGGCGCCGTCCCGCACGCTGCAGGGCACGGAGCCCGGCCGCCCGCCGTAAGCCGCCGCCGCCGCCTTCTCCCCCCGCCCCGGGTCGGGCCGAGCCCCGCTCGGGCGGTCCCTCGCGACGCCGTTCCCGTCACTGTCGCCGAGGGGCCGCGGCCGGGGGGGGCCGAGAGCCTCCCGCCCCCATCTCCCGTTTCACGGCGACATACCGTTACCCGGAGCAGCTACGGGAAGGGGAAGCGCGGATGCGGCGCCGCCCTCCCCCCGGGCCCGCCGGCACCTCGCGGCCTTTACCCCGGCGGCGCAACCCCTCCGCCCCACGCGGAGCCCGGCCGCGCCTCGGAGGAGCGGGGACGGCCCGAGGTCAGCGGCGGCACCGTGGCCATCGGGACCCCGCGCGGCCGCTCCCGCCCCGCTCCCCGCCGTACCTGCGGCGCCGCCGCCTCACCCCGCACCTGCCGCGGGCGGTGACGCACCCAGAGCCGAGCGAGCCCCCAGCCCTCCCTGAGCGGAGCCGGGAGCCGCCGAGGGGCGGTGCCACCAGCGAGACCGCCCCGCGGGGGGCGCGGCCCGGAGGGAGGGGCTGACGGGCGACGGTGGCGTCGGTCGCGGGGGTTCCGGGTGGGGGTCCGGCGGCGCGGTGTGACGGCCGGCAGCTCGGCGTGAGGCCGCCCGCCGTTGACCCCTAGCTCCCTCCGTGCAGCAGGGGCTCGGGAACGCGCAGTGCGTCACGGCTTTCCGTCACGGCCGACGGGAAACGTGCGTGAGAGCTCTAGGGAAAGCAGTGTAAAATAAACGAGGTCAGGGACGCGGTGGGTCAGGACTACGGGTCAGCGTCACATGAGCGCGACTCACAGGCTGCGAGGTACAGCGGTGCTGCGCTGGGAGCTGCGGACGGGGCCGCGCTGCGCCGCGCGGGGCTGAGTTCCATCCGCAGCTGCCGGGGCACTCGGGCCGCTGCGGCGCCGCGCTCCTAACGGGGCTCAGCCTGGGAGAAGCTGTGCAAATCCCCGAGCGCTGCCCTGCGCGTTTATTTGTGTATGCCTTGGTGAACGACGTGCCTGTCTGGCCTGTGCAGTTCGGCAGGTATACGTTGTTCCGCTGGTTAACGTTAAACTTACCTCGATCCTTTAGCGCCGATGGACACGCTCCATTGTCTTGTTAAAAATTAACTTAGAAAGCACTTTGAAAAACACTGGCTTCATTAAAATGTTAAGATGACACTCGATATTTAAATCTACTTTTAAATTACCCAGTTTGCATGCACTTCAGATAGTGAAGTCCAGACTTCAATGCTACTATAATCCCTCTAATAGAAATTCTGTGTTTGTAGGTGAGAATACCCTGGAAACGAGGCTGGAAACGATTGGGATTTTGGTTCTCCAACCCAGTTCTCCATGGGATGGGAGGAGGTGGGACTCCTGGTGGACCAGGGCAGATGCAGTTTGCTCGCCCAGTTTCTATCTGTGTTGGCACATCACAAGAAGTTACCTGAGCTCTGCAGGAGCTTCCTGCAGGCATAGCTGAAGTGTTCAGCTCCTGTCCCATGTGCATGCAATGTGGGCATTACTGAGTTGCAGCTGAGGGCAGAAATCTCCTGAGACACATTGATGTCATCACTTAAACACTCTGAGATGCTACAGGACAGACAGGTTTTTGCTCCTACCAAAACAGCCCCTGCTGCCCCTTTCTTTTACCAGTGGATTTCTCTTGCGTATTGCATTTTCCTCCTGCTGGGAAAGGAAAGGAAATGTGAATTCAGCTTACTGGACAAACTCTGCTGCCTGCAAACTCTGGTTGAGCAAGATTTACTTTCCCTAGCCCTCCCCACCCTGGGTAAATCCAAACGCTTTATAATCACAGCTTTTGTCTTTGTTGTTTATTTTGTTCAATCTTATTGTCCAGGAGATACAAGCAAGAAGGCATGGCTTGACCTTGTAGAGCACAAGTGCAGAAGCCGAGCTCACACAGCACTGCAAAGAAAATGAGAGGGAAAAACAGAGTGCAAGACCATTGTGGAGAGAACTTGCTGCTGTTTGCTTGCCCCCATTCTTTTTGCATTTCCCATCTCTTTCCACACAGTCATTAGGTGAAACCTCTTGCAAAAGCCTTATGAAACACCCTGCTGGCTTGCAGGGTGGTAATGTGAGGCTGCAGGCATGGCCGCGCAGCTTTGCCAGCCAGCTATTGCATTTGGTGGAGGGGTCTGGAGGGCAGAAGGGCTGGAGTGAGACATCTTTATCTACATTAGTGCCAAATGGAGAGATCCTGGTCCAGCACTCCTGCCCTCTTCTTTGCTCTTCCCACACAGCAGTGCTGTGGACTTGGCAAGCAGACCCAGATTGATAAAACACCTTAGAATGAAAATGCTGCCATGCAGGCTACACTTGGCAGGTCTGCACTGTGTGTGCTGGAACTCAGGGCCTGCCCCGGACAAAGGTCTGTCTCACGCATCATCTGTGCTAATTGGAAAGTTCTCTGCTTTGCCTGCTGAAGACTGACAGTTTAAATGTTCAGGTCCATTGCTTGAGAGACACAAGGATTTAGAAGGAGATATCTAGAATTGTTTGAGATGAGGGGATCTTCTAAGGTCATATAGTCCAACTCAGCTGCAATGAACACAATGGACACCTACAGCTCCTTCCTCAAAGCCCGGTCCAGTTCTGATCTGTTCTGCTGCTCACATGCTCTAGGACTCTGGGTCCTTCCCATGCTGCTGTCCTGCATCAGGTCTCCCTGAAGACCTGGGTCTCTATGCTCCATCCCACCTAGTGTCTTTTGGTCCTGCTTTATGCTCCCTCACCACCCAGTCAAGCAGGATTTATGCTGGAATGCAAGGTACAAAGGCTGTTTTACTTGGGTGCGTGGAAATAAAGCATTACCAGGCTTGTCACTAACAAAGAAAGTGGGTCCCCTGGCAAGGGCCAAGGCTCAAGGACTTGCACTGGAAGGTAAAACTACAGCCATAGCTCTTTTCTTCCTCTGTCAATGTAAGAAGTGTTTGAGCTTTATCTCAGACACTTGAATGCTCCCTGCTCTCCCAGCCTGTCTGATGGAAGTTTGTTCCACCTTGGACTTCCTGTCTGCAAGAAAAGGCTGAGCAGAGGTCACCCTCAAAAACACGGGTATCAACTCACCAGTGCTTGCATAGGAGGTCAGGAAGGCCCCCTATGAGCCACCCCAAGGCTCATGTTGTTCAAGGGATGTCATTTGTACTGGGGAAGGTATGCAGCAGAGCACATTCACGAATCTGCATCCAAAAAGTAATGTGATCACCTTGCTCTCTAGTCAGTGCATTCCAAGTGTTGCCTCACAGGGGGCTGGGCAGGCACACCCCAAGAGCACGGTGCAGCCATCCTGCAGCTGCCAGGGCCAGGAGGAAATCCCCTTACCTCAGGGAGTGCTGGGCAGCACACGTGTGAGGTAACACGCGTTTCAGTTTTGCTGACTCTGCTTCAGAGGCTTTCAAGCTGTGGGAAACCAAGACACCAGCAGCAGTAAACCTGCAAGAGTACTTCATTCAGGGGCTGGCTTGACTCCGATCTAGCACAAGAGATCAATGGCAGCTTGGCAGAGCCGATGTGGGCTGTGAAACCTTGCCTGCGTTTAGGCCACAAGGCCACTGTGTGGTTTGCTCCAGGAGCCTGGAGCAGTGCTGGGAGCCCTGAGGGCTGCGCGGGGCTGCAGGAAGCCTGGGCAGTGCAGTGAGAGGAGGCAGACGTGGCCTGGAGCAGGCAGAGCAGAGCCAGACAGAATGAGAAGGGGAATTTGCTGGTGGGCACAGGCCATGCAGGAATGTCACCTTGGGGGTACCCAGCAGCAGAGGTGTTGATGCTCTGCAGAACGTGCTGGCTGCTGCAAGGCCAGGCAGCAAACATCACAAGGTCTGTGAAGGGAATGAGAGATGGGATACCCTGTCCTCGCTGTGCTCCCGGTCCCTGTGGGCCTCACAGACGGGATGCTCTGCCATCGCTGTGCTTTAGGCCCATGCCACAGGGCCAGGAGGTGCTGCCAATGAGGTATCGGGATGCTCATCTCCATCAGGACCCCGTGTCACCGCTCTGATGCTGGCTCCTGCACAGCCTGTGGCACGATGTTTGGAGCATGATAGGGCAGAGCAGCACTGCTCAGCTGCACTTGTGCAAAAGAACTTCAAAGCAGCCATAAATCAGCCTCTAAGCTGTGTTAGGGCCAGCACTGGCATGGATCCTGCTACCTCCTATGGGAGTGACGAGTGAGCTGGCCATGACCCATTCCCACTTGGCCAGGAGACCAGGAGGTTCCTGGTAGAGCCTGGATCAGTCCCTGCCACTGGGAGACTGATGTGTGTGGAGGGCAGCAGATGTCCATGTGGACACAGTGCTCTGAGACCAGGTTATCTGGGGAAAACAAGTGGTGTAAGACGAGATTGAACAAAGAAAGACCTCAGCATGAGTTTCCCTAGGGTCCTGCTGGATTCCCCAAGGTTCTGCTGATGGCATGATGACTGTGAAAGGGGAAGAGTGGAAATTTTACAGGGAACAATGTCTCAGTGGTTGCTATTAGTTAGGCAAACCACCCCACTTCGGTGCAGGCCAGCTGAGGGTGAGGGACAAGAGTGCTAGAGGGAAGACAAAACTCAAAACAGCACCAAATAAGAAAAATATTTATCTCCCTCCTTAAGCTGCTGTGTGGCTAAGAGACTAAGCTGGGATGTCTCTGGCACACCCCCCATTCTGCAGGGCCATTTGTGAGACACTCAACAGTTACCAGGCTGTGGCTTGTGCCTCAGCAGCAGTTCTTTACAGACCTTTATTTTGCTCAGTTTCTCTGTTAAGAGCTGGAAAGATTATGGGTTTTGGACCCTGTCATGGAAGACCTGGGCATGGCCCACACCAGACCTCCTCTCTCCAAGGGCTCTTATCTTTGCATGTTTGCATGACTTTGGAGCCCTGTGACCCATGTTAGAAGCTCCCTGTGCCACTAAGCCAAAGGGTTTTGAAAAGCAACACCAGCTTTCACAGCACAGTTTTGTGATCTGCTTGCAATCCTTCTGCCTGTGCTGCCCCACAGCCCATGGGACCTGCTGAAATCAAACCCTGCCAGAATGTTTCCCTGGCTGTGGCCTCTTGCACATCTCATTCTCACACTATTTATATCACATGGAACAGCACATAGGCACCACTGTCTACCAATAAAGGGCTATGCCAGCCCTCTGCAGTCTGACCTTACTTTCAGATACCTCAGCAACAGCTTAACAGCCTGAGGGCACAGGGAAAACTCACGGCTGGCTGTGCTGTGCTAGTTTCCAGCACTGACTTTCCACTGCCTGGCAGTGGGAGTGGGACCCAGGTCATCTCAGCTTTGTCCATGCTGGAGAGATGTGGCAGCTTCTGCATGAAAAATCCATTCTTCTGGTCTGCTGTGCAGCCCAGGAAATCCTCCCACTGGGTAAGGTGCTGGCACAGAAAGGGATCAAAGGAAGGCGTCAAAGGCTGAAATCATTTTAGAGAGTGCTGTGAGTCTGGGGAAAATCCCAGAGGTAGAAAAGG